ATGCTAATGCCCTCGTATCGCTATAGAAATCCCTCAAATCCTACCTCTGTATCATAAAGTTATCCACATTTCAGAGTTGAGGCTGCCTAACCCAACAGCCTTGGGATTTGATTTTATTTTTGCCTTTTGGAGCTTTTCTTGGAAGAGCAGTAGGGGAAGTCCAACTTTAAAGCTACCCAGAACTTAAACTTTCTATTTAAAATAAGCTCCCCATCGCATAAAGCATAGGAACCCTCACATTTCAGAAGCTGAAGGTGGTTGGGTAAGAGGGTGGTTGTGGTGGGTTTTTCTTTCCTGCTCTGGGCCTCCTGGGCACCGTTCTCTGGAATCTGTTATTAATGGGGACTCAGACTCCTCCTTTTCCTCTTCCTCCTTTTCCTTATGCCTTTCTTTTCCTCCCTCCTTCCTCTCCTCTTTTGTTTTGTTTGTTTTTAATACATACATTTATTTATTTCAGAGCGGAAGGGAAAAGATAAAAACATCAATGATGAGAGAGATTCATTGGTTGGCTGTCTCTGGCACGCCCCCTACTGGGGATCGAGCTAGCAACCCAGGCATGTGCCCCTGACTAGAATCAAGCCTGGGACCTTCCGGTCCGCAGGCGGATGGTCTATCCACCGAGCCAAACCAGCCAGGGCCTCTTTTGTTTTTAATACGGAAGGGGTTATCCAAATAGAGAGGAATAGTTTAGAAACGTATCATTACAGCAGCAGCAGCAGGAGTCACCCGTAGGGGCACCGCTGTGACTGTCTGGTTGCTGAGAGGGGTGATAACTTGGCCAAAGTCACACGGCCACTCCTTGGATAGTGCCGCTTCCTGCCCTCCCCTCTGACAAAGGAACTCTTCCCACCAGGCCCCGTCAGGCTGGTCTCTCCCCGGGGGTCTGTCTTCTCTGCATCCAGCAGCAAACTGGTGGTGGGTGCCCCCTTTCCTGGCACCCCACCTGGCCCTTGGCATCCCAGAGTGCCCGGCCTGACCTGGAGGCTGCTTGCTGTCTGGTATGTGCAGGGGGTGTCCACCCACCGTGGACAGAGAGGAAACCCTGTCGGGAATGAAGCATGAGGGGCCTAAACCTTATAAAATTGTTGAGATCATCTTTAATGGGGGAAAATACAAGAATATCTTATTTTTTGCTAATTAAATAAAAACATATGAACAGATGGGAGTGCTGAGGAGAGGTCAATGGGGGGGAAAGGAGACATATGTAATACTTGAAACAAGAAAGAATTAAAGAAAAAAAGTATACATGAAAAAAAAACAAAAAAAAACGTATGAACACATCACTAGGTCCCCACCCAGTGCCTTAGGAGAGACCAGGCCCTGGCAAGTGAGGGGAACGGAAGCTTAATTTCCCTTGTTTTCGGGGTAAAATTCCCCCTCGGCCTTATATGGAGTAAAGAAGGACATACGGGGGGCAGCCTTCCTGACCGCTCACATGTCCTCGGTCTGAGCTGCTCACAGCCCTCTGGAGGCGGCACACACAGTAAGCGGGGCTTTGGGGCAGTTCTCAATACTTCATCAGACCGCGTGAGACACCCCAGCGCTGCACAAAATACAGGTGAGAGTACAGAGTGGGGGCACAGGTGACAAAGGAAACAAAGCAAGAAACACAATGAAAACCACACGAACCTTCCCCCCCAATGAGTACAACCAGGGGCAGCACCAGAACTGCCTTCTCTGGGGTTTTGTTCCCTGTCTCAGAACGGACGGACGGAGCCCAAGGAGGACAATGCCAGCGCCCGGCTGCTGCAGAGCGCAGGAGTGTCCGCCACTAAGAAAACAGCGGGGATCTCGAAGAACTCCTCTCCCCTTTTGGGCAACAATAATGATGCTGCCAAGAAAATCTTGCCTCCTAAGACTTAGGCTGGATAAGAAATAAAATACAGCCGGAAAGGTCAAGGTGAGTTCAAAAGACTGGAAAACCAGACAATAAAGGTTTAAAAATAAGTAAGTAAATATAAATAAAAAGAGACTGGAGAATCTCCTGTAACCAGACCGGAGACTTCAGAGCAGGAGATGAAGTGCTGTGTGTGCAGCCGAGGGCTGGGGCCACCACTCCACCCACCTCCGCGGGGCTGTGGGGGACAGGGGTGCAGGGGAGCTGTAGGAGGAGCAGGGAAGAGGGGTTCTTTTTGCTTTCCAGGAGACACCCTCTATCTGCGAGGCTGGTGGCACAAGCGAGGTCCCAGGGGTAGTAAGTGCATTCATGGCTTGTTCGGCAACAGAAACGTGATCACAACAGAACTGCTCCTTGTTGAGACTTACATATGCTTTACATGTTTTCTCACTGAATCCCCACGACAGTTCTGTCAGCGTTCCTAACTGATCTACAAGAATACAGACTTAGAAATGTTCAGAAACGTACTCAAGGCTGTACAGCCAATGAGTGCCAAAGCTGGTACTCAAACCCGCTGTCAGACGGCACAGGCCATTCATCTCACCGCTATGCTTTCCTTTCTCTTTCCGTGGGCAACGGAGGGATTGCTGAGCAATTAACTCAATAATCAAAGATTTTTAAAAAAAGAAAAATTCAGTTGGACCTTTCCGCAAAGATTAGCCAACCTCTGCTTAGTGGTGATGTCAACAGAAACTGGGAGGAAAAACATATAGCTACATAATCTGTGAGAAGCATAAATACCAAGCAAAATGTGGGCAATGGCTTAAACCATGGCTTCCAAACGCTTCTGTTTGTGTATCTCATCGCAGGGACCTGGAGCACATCCCCAATAAAGGTATATGTACTTGTAAACTACACTCATATTCATAATGTGTATCACTGTAAACACAAAATATTGAAATGTTTTCAAATTATTAAATATTAAGCTATTGATTAAAACAAAAACAAAAAACAGAAACTGCTCTGGGCTAGTGCCATTTCCTCATCAGTCCCAGAATCACCTGGTCGCTTACAAAAATGGCTATGTTCCATTTTAGATAATTTGCATGCATATATTTCTCTTTTTTTTAATATATTTTATTGATTTTTCACAGAGAGAAAGAGAGAGGGATAGAGAGTTAGAAACATCAATGAGAGAGAATCATCGATCAGCTGCTTCTTGTACACCCCCTACTGGGGATGTGCCCTCAACCAAGGTATATGCCCTTGACCGGAATTGAACCCGGGACCTTTCAGTCCGCAAGCCGACGCTCTATCCACTGAGCCAAACCGGTTTCGGCTATTTCATTTTTTATACCAAAATCAGACCATTCTGTACATGCTATTTCATAACCTACAATCACCCACACATGGCATTATAATAGTTTTCTCTTCTAAACCACTAACAGTTCCTCTCTCTATAAAACTGACTTGTTAAATAGACCAGGCCAGATGTGCTAAGGCTGTGGCATCTTTTGGGTTTTCTGCAGACTTCTTTATGGTGTTAATTTGTCCCCTCGTTTTCTGTATTGCTTATCAATGGGCTATTACAGTTTGATAGAGTCAAGTTTGGCTATACACCATAAGTAACGCTGTTGACCTCATCTCTGTATCACATCAGGAATCAACGTAACCTCTGATAGACCTACCATTGGTGAAGCTAAGATCGGCCGCTTGTTGAGGGTGACGGCTTTCTGGTCCCGTGATATGAATTACATGTTTTCCCTTGCAACTAGGAAGGGATCTATATGGATCACTTTGGTTCTGTATGAATTTTCCCATCAACCATATGCCTAATGCTTTAAAGGCCATTGATAATTGTTGCCTGACTTAAGATTTTGGCAGGATGCTGATGTGCCAATTCTAACAGTCTTAATACATTGTTTGGTAAAAGAAAATTTTCCTAATCATCTGGAGCTGTTTTTTCAACCTTAAAAAAAAATGGAAAGGCAAGTTAAATGTTTCTTTTCCTTTACCAAATTAAGGAGAAGCTAGTTCAATAGTCACTTGAGTCTAATTCCTGGAGTCCTTTTGCAGTATCTCCAAAAAGTCTAGTGGTTGTAGAACTAAACAATGCAGTAAAGTGTGGCCACACAGCACAGACATGATCAGCAACCAGAAATATTCCACTGAACATAGTAGCCATGGTGAGTGTTGACCGGGCGGACTTCAGTGTTCACATCTGACCCTGAACCACAATCCCGTATGCATTTGTCTGAGCTCAGGCCGTTCTTGAAGAGTCATGATGGAACTCACTCTGTTGCTTTTCAGGGAAGAGCTCTCGTAAGCAGAGGAAGTGCTGTTAACGGGTCCTCGACAAACAGGGGCACTGAGTCAAGCTGTGGGACTATGATTCTGTGTTGACTTTGACACGAGGTGTAGGGCTGTAAAAAGGGCATTCCCAAGGGAACATACATGGTACACTGTGGCATGTTCAACAATCTCTCTCCTCCCACGTGCTCCTCTTACGCTGTGACTCAGACACTCCTGCAGGTGAGGTGGGGTCTGTGTTCCCTGCCCTGGAATCTGGGGAGGCTGTGGCATGGCAGTGACACTAAGTATGGAGAAGCCATTTGCTTATTCAGTCACTTGCTGACAGATATTTGGTTGTTTTCCAATTTGGGAATATTACAAATACAACTGCTATGAACATTGGTGTACAAGTCATTGTAGGTTCATATACTTTCTTTTCTCCACTAAATGGCTAAATCATATGGTAGGCGTGTGTGTGATTTGACATTTAGGAAGCTGTCAAATTGTTTTTGCAGTGTCCCATTTTACATTTCCACCTGAAGTGAGAGTTCTAGTTCTTCCACATCCTCACCAACATTTAGTATTGTCTGTCTTCTTAATTTTAGCCATTCTGATAGATATGGAGTGGTAATTTCAATTTCCCTAATGACTAGTGATGTTAAGCATCTTTGCATGGGCTTATTCAACTTCTCTGGTGAAATGCCTGTTCTAATATTTTTGCCACATCTTAACAGGGATGCTTCCTTATAATTTTTGAGAGTTCTTTAAATCTTCTAGATACAAGTTCTTTATTGGGTACACACATTGCAAGTATTTTCTCCTAAATCGTGACTTGTCAGTTCAATCTCTAAGAATTTTTAATTTTGATTCTGGGAGACTGTTCCCAAAATATCAAGAACGCATGCGTGCGCTGCTTCTTTCCTTTTGCCTCGTTGCTACCGAGTGAGCAAGATGGGTCACCAGCAACTCTACTGGAGCCACCCGAGGAAATTCGGCCAGGGCTCTCGCTCTTGCCGCGTCTGCTCCAACCACCACGGCCTGATCCGGAAGTACGGCCTCAACATGTGCCGCCAGTGTTTCCGCCAGTTCGCGAAGGGCATCGGCTTCATTAAGTTGGACTAAGGGAACTTCCGTGAATGGGTCATTGAAGACATCTATCTACCTTACGACAATGCTATCTCTTCGTACATAAAAAAAAACACTTCAAAAAAAAAAGAATTTTTAATTTTGAGTTTATGAGTTTGTTCTTTTATAGAACTATTGTCATAACTGAAAAAAATCTTTACCTAAGTCAAGGTCACAAACGTTTTTCTCCTAGGTTTTTGTCCACAAGATTTATAGTTTAGTTATTACATTTAGGTCTATGACCCATTTTGAATTAATTTTTGCATATGATACAGGATATGAATTGAAATTCCTTTGCATGTGCATATCCAATTATTTCAGCAGCATTCGTTGAAGACAATCCTTTCGCCACTGAATTTTTATCTTTGCAAAAAAAAAAATCAGTAATGATCTATTTTTATACTCTATTGTTTCACTGATCTATTTCTATATTATACCATCAACCACTTGTCTTGATTACTAGAGTTGTATAATTTTAGAAACCAGGTAGTTTTAGTCCTCCAACTTCATTTTCAAAATTGTTTTGGCTATTGCAGGTCCTTCATATTCCATATGAATTTTTAGAACCAGGTTATAAATTTCAATTTTAAAACATCAACTGTTGGGATTATCAAAATCTACATATTTGGGGAGAATTTATATTTTAATTGTACTGAGTCTTCTGACCCGTGATTAAGATACCTCTCAACTTACTTAGGTCCTTTAATTTCTCTCAGCAACATTTCTGCGTTTCCAGTGTTCAGGTCTTGCACATATTTAGTTAGGTTTGTTCCCTAAATAGTTCCTATTTTTATGCTACTGTAATTGGCACCTTAAATATTTTCAATTTCTGATTGTTAATACTCAGTGACTTTTTACTTTTTTATTTATTTCTTAAGAGTTCTTTATGGTTGTTTTTTGTTTAAAAGCATACCATACTTGTTTTTCTCATGCTAAGAATGTGAAAGTTGTTTTTTTCTCCCGCTCTCTGAATAGTCCGTTTTCTCCAGGTTTTTAATTTTGGGGGAGATCTTCACCTTTCATGGCAGTTCATTCATATTCAAGAGGGAGACACTAAAAAGCCAACCAGAAGCTCTGGGTGCATGGGCAAGGCTGGTTCGCTAGCAGCCCTCTCTGCAGGGTAACTGCCCACTTCAAAAGAAACCCTCTGTGTCAGAATCTAGTATCTTTGCCTCAGGCTAGACAGGCTCTCCAAAGAACCATCCAGTCTGCCCGGAGTGCCCAGTTCAAAGTCCACAACATTCAGCGAGAGGCCAAACAATTCTGAATTACCAACTGATAACCCTAAGAGGTGGCCTTGATGTTTCACCCCATCCAAATGAGCTGCATTACTCCATTTTTGGAAAAATAAATTGCCTGGCTGGCATGTGACTCAGTGGTTGAGCATCAGCCTATAAACAGATCACAGTTCAATTCCAGGTCAGGCCACATGCCTGGGTTGCAGGCTCCATCCCCCAAAAAGGGGGGATAGGGTGGGGGGGAGACATGCAGGAGGTAACCAATAATTGTCATCATTGATGTTTCTATCCCTCCCCCTTCCTGAAATCAAATTTCCCATCTTCGCCGGGACCGGTTTGGCTCAATGGATAGAGCGTCGGCTTGGGGACTGAAGGGACCCGGGTTCGATTCCGGTCAAGGGCATGTACCTTGGTTGCGGGCATATCCCCAGTAGGGGGTGTGCAAGAGGCAGCTGATTGATGACTCTCTCTCATCGATGTTTCTAACTCTCTATCTCCCTCCCTTCCTCTCTGTATAAAATCAATAAAAAATATATTTTAAAAAAAATTTCCCATCTTCATAATGATGGTATCTACTTCATCTTTCAGAGAATTAGGCATCACAGGATGCCTAACGTAAATGCTCAAAACATGTTAGCTATTAATGTTAAATATTAAATGAGGAAACTTTTCTTATCTCAAATTTCATCCGATTGTCCAAAGACTACCAAGATTGTTTTTAATCTTGATTCTGTGGCCTTCAGAGTTATAATTTCCTTTTAGATCTGCATTATCTTCCCCTCGACAAGCATGCTGGTTCCTTCATCTTAGCCACAAAGTTAGACAAGGTCAAGCTGCGGCCTTGGCACCAATGAATAAAGCCCTTGTCTGTGAAAACCATTTCATGTGGGAGACCCTAACTCTGTGAGTGAAGTGCTGAAGAGGGAATAAAAATACAAAGACTTTGCCCTAGCCAGTTTTGCTCAGTGGATAGCGCATCGGCCCAAGGACTGAAGAGTCCTGGGTTCAATTCCAGTCAAGGGCACATGCCAAGGGGGGTTGGAGGGGTTGCAGGAGACAGCTGATCAGTGATTCTCTCATGCTTGATGTCTCCATCTCTCTCCCCCTCTCCCAAATCAATAAAAATTATATATATATATATATATATATATATATATATATATATATATATATATAAATATATAAAAGGCTAATATGCAAATTATCCCCTCAACCACAAGTTCAACCACTCACAATAATGTGTGACAACCACCAGGGGGCAGCATGGAACATGGAAGGCATCAGTAAAGCAGTGCTGGCAACAGGTGGCAGTGGGGACGCTACTGGCCACAATGGGCCCTGATAAGAGCTGGACCACAGAGGAATGGTGGAATAGGTGAGCAGGCGGTGCCAGGCCAAGACAGGTATGAGGGGGGTGCCAATCGCCCCTCCAATTGCCCTGCAAACAGTGGCCAGTGGTGCCGACTCCCAGGCACGAGGGAAAAAGGGCAAATAGCAATATTAAAATATTATTTTCCTTTCAATGTGCACAAACCTGTGCACTGCCCCCCCACACACACACACACACACACTCTTGCCTTTACGGAGTTCACTAATGATGGGGAGAAAACAGTTCTGTGTGCTACATTTCAGAACCTGCAGAGGCCCAGGAAGGGAACAACTAAAAAATGAATAAACCTTGGACCTATCATCACAAAACAGCTACTTCATTAGACTGAAAACTAAAAACACACCCTGACAGGGTTAATATTGCTCTTGATTTCTCTTGGTATTTACTTCTGGAAGAAAAAACAAAACAAAACAACAACAAAAAACAGAAATTATAACCAAATTACCAAACCAACTCAAAGCAAACATTTCAAGGTTGTCGAGAAGCTTTAGCGTACGTGATTACTGCCACACAAAGGAGCTACGTACGTTTCCAGGTCAGAAACTGCCACTCACATTCAATGCTTCTATTCAGTTATCAGTTCTATTTACATAAAAGATTTGTTACATAATAAAACTGCGTATATATACACTTTCTGCTCCTGAAAATAAAGGAGTCATTAACAAATCTACAGAGAATGTTTTCAGTTCTAGAAAAGGGTCCAGAAATTCTTCGCCTGCTTAAACTTTATCGTGGCATTGATGAAAAACTAAGATGGGTCACGGGCCTAAGACTGACAAAAAAAGATAAATTTTTCAGGTTTAAAGATAGGAAGGCCCTCCGTCAAACAATTCTCAATGCTCTTTCATGTGACTGTTGTTTGTATATTAGCACAGGGAGTTAAAGGTGAAATGTAGGCTATTATAGATTCTTAAAATATGTAGTTATGGCTTGTCACTGAAAAGGAAACTCTGACAGAGGTCCATTGAGCATGAAATGGGCAAACTAGCCTATGCTCCTGCTGATTTGTGTGCTGTCGAAATTAGGGCCGGGACTGGTTCGGCTCAGTGGATAGAGCATCGGCCTGCGGACTGAAAGGTCCCGGGTTCGATTCCAGTCAGGGGCATGTACCTTGGCTGCGGGCACATCCCCAATAGGGGGTGTGCAAGAGGCAGCTGATCAATGATTCTCTCTCATCGATGTTTCTAACTCTCTATCCCTCTCTCTTCCTCTCTGTGAAAAATCAATAAAATATATTTTTAAAAGAAATTAGGGTGCCTTTAGTTCTACTCTCTTCTGTATCATTGTTCTCTCCCAGGTAAGTTCTCATACATAGCAGAAGGGCCACAGCAGTCACAGGCCTACCTCTCACGTGCAGACCACACCCCTCGAGGAAAGCACCTCCTCAACCATTCTTCAACAAATCCCAGCTTCACCGTCTTTGGATCAACCTAGTTTTACCTTTGGATCAACCCAGAACCAAATTACCTGTTTAAAGCAATGGTTCCCAACCCAGGAAACTTGACACTCTTTTATTATGCTGAAATAATATTCCTAGATAGGTATATCAGCCTACTTACACAAACACACATTGGCAACAAAAACAACTAAAATAAAACCATAACTTGATATAAAAGAGAAATAAAACTAACAATAAGATGTACATTGTGATAGATAAATGTTTAGGAATAATATTAGACATAAAGAAATGAATGTGATTGCTACAAATGAAAACTGACCCTGATGTGTTGTAATATTAACTCAAATACCACTTTGATGATGTAGTTTTCCAAAATGGTGAAGAACTCTTAGAAATAAAACAAAACAATCATCTTTATTTGATTCACAAGGTAGTTGCATTCCTAGAAAATTCGTTTGTTTCTATACACAAAACAGCATTACGTTCTAGGATACGATAATATCTGATGGAATACTGGAAAGCCATGTAGGACACAGGACAATTCTTTCTGGTCCCTGCCCATCAAATATTTGTAGTATTCTCCAAACCAGGGAAAAAAGCAACCCTAGTAAACCGTCAAAATGTCCCCGAAAGGGACAGTACAAGACTATGTCCATTAGGCTCACTCAAACCTTGACTGCTCTACAAACTGGGCGAGGGTGCAACAGAGGGTAGAGAGGCACCACCACCCACCACTTCTAACTTCCTCATTCATAAATTAAAACTAAAGAGAATTTCAAGTGCTCCCTCAAATAAATGGCTTCATATTGAAGATGCTTTTATTAGTCAAGCAAAGTCCACTATATCTGTTCAAATTCAAAGCCTGTTAAAAGTGAGATGGCTAGGAGGGTGATTAGGTTTCAATGAACACTTGAATCCGTTTGGTGGAAATACTAGGTTTCAGAAAAAAGCAATGACCTTGAAAAGGCAGCTTACAGGCT